GATAATGATGATGGTGATGATGATGATGATGATGATGGGGATGATGATGATGATGATGGTGATGTGATGATGATGATGATGATGATGTGATGATGATGATGATGATTATGATGATGATGCCGGATGATGATGATGGTGATTATGATGATGATGGTGATTATGATGATGGTGATTATGATAATGATGATGGTGGTGATGATGGTGAATATGATGATGATGCTACTGCTGCTGCTGATGATGATCGTTGCGGATGATGATGATGATGATGATAATCATGAAGATTTATTTACGAGCGTTATCTAGCATACGGTCCTCAGTGAATGATGACCAGAAGTAAACGTAAATCTAACAAGTTTGATTTCTCCCCTTGCTAAGAAGAAATATTTAGAGGAAAGGGGAAACCTCTCCTCGAAAGCTGTCCTTCTTCGTAAGTAAATGTTGTCTATATAGAAATGACATTTCTTCATGTAGCTATTTTCAATGTTAATATACTCGATCTAACAGTATCGCGGACTTTTAAACGAGCCAGACAAAAAGAAGAAAAACCTATATTAAAACGAGGATTTAGAAACTCTTTACGTTTGTTAGAACGAACTAATTGGACAACGTTTTTTTTAATATCCAGCAATCCCTTGGAAACGAGCATACTCGATAAATTAAAAGCGTTGGCTACTCTGACGTCATCATATACTGTAACACAATAGCGTCGTGACGTAGGTCAAAGCCACCGTTCCGTTCAAAGAGCAAACTCATATTAGTTTCAGTAATGATAAAAGGGTAAATTTTACACCTTGAGATGAAAAAACTTACCGACGTTTCGGACACTAGTCCTTTGTCGGAGTAAAAGAGGAAGGACTAGCATCCGAAACGTCAGTAAGTTTTTTCATTTTTTCACGGTGTAAAATTTACCCTTTTATCATTACTGTTTCATTAGAAACACCGACGCAGCTCACACTAGTTTTTAGCTAGTTATCTGTTCTTATTAGTTTCATTAAGCGTTTTTTTTAGAGTCAAATTTGTGACGAATCTTAATTGGATACTCCACAAAATGACAGACAGAGCTCACGAGTGAAGTAACTATGGCAAACAGTCAGTTAATCATTCTTATTTTCTTAAAAACAAAAACCACGTTAAAGAGTTACTCGAAGAAATATCCCTCTTTACCTTAGGCGTAATGTTTTTCCTCAAACACTAAAATCCTAATGGTATATTGACATTTAAAACAAAAACAAAAAAAACCCAGAAAGCTAAAAAAAAACAAAAAAACTGAGAACTGAAAGCCTTTATAGTTGAATTGTAGCACTATAGATTTCGGAGAATTGAAAGTTGTTTTTGATACACTTTTTTATAAATAGAAAAGCGAATATGAAAATCAAATTCACAGTGTAAGACGTTCCTAATTCACAGTTCTACGATTTGTGTAAAACCGGTTACGAAGGAGTTTCTCAGTAATCCACGAACCAGTCAGCCTTCCCTAACTTCCAAAATCACATAACAACGTTATCAAAAAGCTACATTCATTTTGGTTTTGCTTTCTCGATTAACGCACTTAAATTTCCCTGGTACATAAATCCACGAAACTCATCTTTAAAAGTGTTTGGCATACGACTAAAGATTTAAATGAAGATTTTAATCCTTAATCAAAACTAGAAAGACAACCTAGAAATAAGACAAGAAAATGGGTTGAACAAATATAAATTTTTATTCCAGTAAGAAGTAGCATATAAAGTCCTGTAAAAGACTGAAACATGCGCATAAGACTTCTGCGCATGCACACGTCATAAATGATTATGCTAGTTTGCCCCATTATGCTAAAAAAAGGGGGGGAAATCAGTTTTGATTTTTAGTTGTCAAATTGACTCCGGAACAATATTGAACTCAAATGGAAGAGGAACAAACAAAGATTCAAAATTACATTTTGGAAATTGTATCAAAAATTTTTAAGTGGTGAGAAAAAAGATTCCATTTTCAAAATGGTTTTAGGATAATATTTGTGTCAACTCTTTTTGTTTTTCATCTAGAAATTGTCATTTAAAAATTCTAAAGGCTACATCCTAGTTTTTTAACTCTTTTTGTTGATACTTTGGCGGTTTTCCTTTTATTTACACGCAGAGGTGCTTTTGAAGGTCAAGAAAACAAAATTCCATTTGAATAATAATAAAGGGTTTTCTAAAATTACCTGGTTATAARATTAGTGAAGAAAATTTGAAGAATAAGATGAGAAAAATTTGAGTTTTTTCGGTTTGAATAGTCAATTCATTATTATCCTTTTTAGTTTCCCAATCCTCGTATCAATTCTTATCAACGTTTGTTTAAAAAGAAGCATTAATCTATGTTCGGCTATATTATCTCTACTCTAGCAAATCTATGTAAACAAAAATGATTTATTAAGAGGTTGTAAACGCGTATCAAACGAAATAAAGGACCCGCGCACTTAACTAACGTCAGAAAATCTTTGTTATTACCTGAGATGGAACTTAGATGAAAATGTTGATGACGGGACGTTAAGCCGAGAAGATATTTCATAAGGTCGCTAAGAAGTCGTTGGATGTACTTAATGCATTAATACTTCGAGTAGGAGTACTTTGCATTTGGAGATTGGTAAACAAATATCAACGGTGTGTAATCAAATAAGCTATAATTGTCACTGAGGTGGTAGACATACATTGGGCGATGACCTACAAATGTATCCTGGTTGCCCAAAAGTGTATTTGTCTTTCAAATGGATTGACTGTGGCCTTGCTTATAAGAGAGTGTTCGTAAGTACTTGTCAAACCGCATCAGGAGTGGACCGTCTCAACGCCATTGCAAGGTGAGTAGGTTTATAAGACCTAGAGCGAAATTCCTTAGAATAGAATCAGAGCGAGCGATTTATTCAGTTATAGTACAAATATATGGTTTATACATATTCTCATACTCAACTATTTAAACTTTATCGATACCCTGAAACAACCTCTGGGCTGATCTAAGTCAGGGCATGGCTAACTCACAGATCGAACTCTGAAATAGCCTCTCGGGTGATCTACTTCTGGCCAAGCCCAACCCACAGATAGAACCCTATTGAAATTTAATTAGAAAAGTCTTTCCTTTTCACATAATGTGTCCTTTCGTATCTGATAATGTCTTTGATTTTACGGCTTATCAAGACTGCGGACACAATCTCGGGTGTTAATCTTGATTATTTCAGTTCAGTCTATTTTGATGACGTGTATTTGCTCGTACGAATAGTGTACATTAGGAAGAGACTCGGTACAAGGAACAAAAACATTTAAATTTCACCTAAATTAATGCAATTTCTCTTTTTTTCTCTCTCTCTTTCTTTCTTTCTTTCTTTCTTTCTTTCTTTCTTTCTTTCTTTCTTTCTTCCTTTCTTCCTTCCTTTCTTTCTTTCTATTTTTTTGCCTTCCTTTTTTCCCTTATCTTTTTCCCGAACCAGACATCCCATACTTATAAAAAGAATGAGGCAGCCTACCAAGATATTATTGCTGTTGAGTCTAGCACTTGTGAGCTATTCCTCAAGTGCAACAGGTACGAACACAGTGTCTCATTTTAAACTGCACTTTAGACACGCAAACAATGCCATTAACGTATTTTCTTTCCCAGGTTCTGTTAACTTTGTCCCGGTCGGCTGCTACCGTGACAGCCAACTCAAACCCAGGCCCCTACCAGAACTCATCCACAACTACCGTTTGAATGACGAAATGGACTGGAAAGACTTAAATGGTTCGGTGGTCCAGGCATGCGCACAAGAAGCTCACAGTAGAAACTACGTATATTTTGGGATACAGTTCTATGGTGAGTGCTGGAGTGGACCGCGGGCTCACGAGACGTACTTCAAGGATGGTCTCTCAAGAGAGTGCATTGATGGTGTCGGAGAAGGTTTCGCTAACATGGTGTATAGACTAGCTGGAGAAGGTATGCATAATACGTACAGAACCTTCTATTAGGTGACCAGTTGGGCCAACCTATATTAAGCGACCTGTTTTCCAAGGTTCCCAAAAAGGGTATATTTACCTAATACGTTTTCCCTTTATTACAAGCAGACGACATATAACAGACCTCTATAATACGGACACTGTCATTAGTTAATTTGATATAATTTTTTCGTCTTCAGATAATGAATGTGTTAATTACAAAACCTTTGACTCTGAGGATCGCTCAGCCTCAAAAGATAATATCGTTGGTGACCTTAAATGTGATGATGACAAGTTTCAAGCTGGTTGGTATCGGTTTGAAGGTCAAGCTGGGACCCAGATCAACGCTTTGAAGATAAAGAATCGCTGTCAGACATTGCACATAGGCTACTACACAGGGGCCCACCCTGGGCCAAACGAAGGAATCGTTGAAAATAAAATCTGCTTTACAGATATCTGTGATCGCAACAAGGATATCAAAATTAGAAACTGTGGAGAATTTTATGTGTATTATTTGAATAAAACTGGTGGTTGTCCTGCTCGCTATTGTGGAGACGGTAAGTAGAATAAATCATGCATATCATCATCATCATAATCATCAATAATATCATCATCACCATCAACATCACCATAATCAACATTATCATCAACATCATCATCATCATCGTTATCATCATTATCACCATCATTACCATCATCATCATAATCATCATCACCATCATGACTATCACAATTATCAAAAACAATAATTATCATCATCATTGTCGCCAACGATGATAATTTTGATTAACATCCTCGACGTCAGAAAAACATGATTTCATTTTTTATTTTATAGGAAAAACGTCCACTGGAATACAAGCCGATATCTAGATGATGACAGTGATTATTTTCAAGCTACTTCAAATCACTGACTCGCTGAAATAACAAGAAAATAGGAGCATAAGCATGATGCATGGAAATAATAAGAGCAACATCCAGCAATCATTTAGGTCTGTCTCAGCGCTGTCTTGACTCGCGCTCTTGAAGGATTGAAATATTGCAATAACTTTTGAATTTCCACATCAGTATTGCTTTAGGACTAAGAAAAATAGGATGATTTATTGTAGTTTCCTTTATGGAAGATTGTAGAAGCAAAATTAAGAAATCTATAAAATTCTAAGACTAAAGATGTAAAAATATTTCAAGCATGTACGTTCAACTGAAGATGTCATCTCGCAAAGATGATGTTTGGTCGTTATTTGTTTGTATCCCTGCGTTCAGTAAAGCAACCTGTTTATGTGGACACCCTATTTATGGAACACCCTGTTTATGTGGACACCCTGTTTATG